ACCTCGTCCACCGGTGGAACAAGGGATGATTCAACCAATCGCCACCATGCAGCCACCTTTACCATGCAGCACTTCATCGTCTGTCATCACAACCCACTGGCTCTCAATGGATATCAAACCATCGGTACTGGAACCCACAACCTCAATTTCCAATGTGCAAATGTTTCATGAACCAGGCGGAACTAGAAGCACCACGGCAGGGACATTAGCCTCCGGCCATTTTCCCGAATACCAGGCGCTGCCGGTGGCAGATATGGCTAATGCCATGTTTAATTCCGGTAGTAGCAGCAGTATTGGAATAGAGAATATCTTCTCTTCCATGGAGGATAAATGGAATACAGGAGAAAACAAAAACTGATTCTTGGAAATAATAATGAGATTATAATGATGATTCTCATTATACGTATGGATAATAAGTGAATAGTAATTATAAATTTGTGGTTGAAAATAGTTTTTTTATTTTTTTATTGCAAATTGTAATTCTTTACAAATATTAGTACGTTTGCGTTTCATTATAAGCTCCTTCTAATTTAAATGTAAAAGTTAAATTTTAATTTTAACTTATTCATATTTTTTCTTCCCTTTTTTTTTTTTTTTTTTTATCACGTTATAACTTCAACAACTTATGATGGAACTCAAACAAGCATGGAATCATGTACGAGTTATGTGATGCCGGATGCAAGAGGACAGTTGTAAAAGAAGAGGAAATGGGAGAGAAGAAGAGAGAGGAGGGAGATAGAATGTGGGAGGTCAAAAGGGGAAGAGAGTTAGACAGATGGAAGGGAAGAGACGAGATAATTGGTGCAAGAATTCATTCATTACAATGTTGTCAATTACATTGCATAGGCTCCCTTTATATGGGGTTTAAACTAATATTAATTGAAGTAGGAAAATACGATAAAATAAATCCCTAATTATGTTTCCTAAAATAAATTTTAAAAATAAAAACTAAATATGTTGAAATCTCTTATAATATTGCATCATTATGTCAATGACGAAAGTTGTGCGTCAACTATTTGTCAATTTTGGACGTGTCTTTACAGTAGACTCAATGTTCTTATTTTCCATATTAGAACGTTGAAAATAGTGATATGTTGTATACTTGATGTCCCAATTGCTGTAAAAATTTTATGAAGTTATAACCTTTCAAAATTAAAACCAATTAAATTTAGTTGTTTTATTTAATTTTCAGTTTTAACAAAATATTAAAAACACCTTAATGTTATAGTGTAACTTATATTTGAGAGGATTAGTGTGGGGTTGAATTTTCATTTTTCACCATAAAAAGAGAGTGAATTTTCACAACTTATTTATATAACTTGGAAAATACTTAGCTATACTCTCTATACATTTTATACTATTACAGTTTTGACAATTCAATAAATGCTCATTCTTTATTTCCATCGTGCTTATAGAAGTAGTTATGAGCCATATGAGTATTATTTTAAAATTGTGTAGTGTCGAAAATACATATACGAATGGAAGGTAACACGATTTTAGGAAAGCGTTCTGGACATGACTTTCTAAGGTATGCTTTCTCAATATCTTCTCATCTTTATATTATATATTATTGTTGAATTATATCTATTATTTGATAATGCTAAATATTAACACACAAATCACCTATTATTCTAAACAATTTAAAGTCGTGTTGAAGTGATTTGTGCATAGAAAATTGTATATGATCTTCAAAGTGCATTAAATGATCATATGTATTGGTCCCAATTACCGCAATTGTAATTTTGCATCTTGGATTGCACTCCAATGATATTTGAATCCAAATAATACTAACTAAGAATTGGTGTGCACCACTTGATGGTTTTAAAAGCAGGTGATGTGCATCCCTTGGCACGAGATAAATTTTTTTCTTTTCGTGCTATTAAATTTCTTCAGAACATATTTTCAATATCCTATATTTGGTTAATTCTTCACGATTTATTTCTAGAGTTTTATGCATAAATATTTGTTTTGATGCTACATAACGTATTATTGGCAATCAGTATTGTTGGATATTTTGATACCAAATAAACCTTGGACCGATGATAAATATTTGGGTCGAAATTATTCATTAAGTGATTTAATTCGGACATCAGGGTGTCCATAAGGTGTCCACCCCCTCACATGAAAAGGACCCACTTTGAGTAAAATATAATTTATTCGAAGTGGGTTCTCCTCCATATGAGGGGGAGACATCTTTATGGACACCACGTTGTGCATAAACAGCATATTCCTTATTCATTAGAGTTTTCGTAAGTCAATTAATGAAACATTTTGTGTTAAGTCGAAAGTCACCCTTGGTAGCCCAAGTTACAAAGAACGACCAAGAACACTCTACAGGCTCTACCCATTACTTAAACCTATTATGTGGTGTATTTAAGTGAGGTTTCTCCGTTGTGTTGCTCTTTCTTTTGACATTGGCTATGCCTCTAACCTTTCTCTTGGCTGTATCTCTTTGTATCTTTAACCTTTGTCTCCTACTCTTCTGTAGATTGTCATCTCTACTCTATTCTCTCTCTGTTCTATACCCAAGACTTAATCGTTGGATTGAGTTTTCCCGATTGTTGCTTCGTATGCATTTCTGCCCTTGTTTTAGTATGCTTTCGCTACCTCTCATATATATCTTCTCTTGGCCAGTTTTGGGTTGTTGTTGTGGTCCATCTGAGTAGCTTACTTTGGTCCAATTTGTGTGGTGTAGCTATATGATTTTTGACTCTTGATCTGAGCCTCGATCCATTCATCTTGGTGCCAAAATCATTGGAGTATTGATAGGGGAGCATTTGTTTTCAATTTACTTAGATTAATTCCATTATTTACTTGACAAATTACTCACTTTGTGTTTTCTATTATCTATTAGGTGAATTTATCTCTACAAGTATGATTCTCTCTCTCTCTCTCACAAATGTTAAAAAATACATAAAGAAGAAGATAATTGTGAAAAAAAATACATAGGGAGAGAACTGTGGAAAAATATATAGTTCATTCATTAAATTAAAGATTATCATAATATTATTTACAGGAAAATAAACAATCTGATCAAAGCAATGCTGCTTCATTTAGTAACGACGTCACTGGGGATGCTTATGTAGCCATTCATAAGGAAAAATTGAAGTTATTTTGAGAAAAATGTGAAATTCCTACTGATGTTATGGGTGTTAAGATTTGAGATTTCATCTTAAAAAGTCAATCTTGTTAATATGAGTAGTCCAAACTCTTATAAATTGGTCTATGTTTTTATCTTTATTCAATGTGGAATTATATTTTTTAACATGCCCCTGCAAGATGGTTGCTCTTTTGAGCAAACCAATCTTGATATTCGTATGCTTATTTTTTGAATCTTAATCAAATTCAATTGCTCATTAGAGTTTAATGGGCTTTGATATCATGCTAAGAGTTGGGGTTTCATATTAAAAGATCGATCTTGTTAAGAGAAGTAGTACAAACTCTTATAAATTGATTTATATTTTCCTCTTTATTCAATATAAAATTATATCCCTTTACAATGAGCCTCTTTGCCCATGGGATTTAAGGATGTTCCTATTCACTACTAGTGTATAATTTAAAAGAAGTAATTACTTCTTAATTCTTAATTTGGTGGCTAGAGACCACCTTTTCCTACTCGTCCGTGAGATGGAAATACAGTCCTTTGATTAATAAGGTTCATATATATATATATACTTGGAAGAAACTGACTAAATGAGTGAAGTAGACCATGATAGTATTGTAATATGTTGAAACTTGTAAGTTTGATTCTATGAAATATTAGGTAGAACTTAATTCAAAGAATTCTGACGATTGCTAGTTCAAAAAACTGACCCATGTGGCATCTTGTGAATATTGTGGCTGCATAAGTGCTCTTGTAGGCACTTCCTATTTGGTGTCAAATGTTAGTTATGTTTCTCATAGATTTTTGAGTTGATGCATCCAATTGTACTTTTATGAGAATTTTATGATTTTATTTTGAGCAAACCATTAAATAATTTAACTCTAAAAAATGTGCTTAATTAATATTTTAAAAGCGGTGTACTTCATGATTAATCTGCATAATTATATATACATCCTAAGTGTAACTCCTTTGAGTAATAATGATTTTATTATTATACAATTTAGATAGGTACCTCATGTTTTGATGTTAGAATAACATATAATAATGCTACCATGTAGTATGATCAATTTGATTTAAGTTTCAAAAGCATTAGATAATTTATTTGCATTTAATTATATTAAGTTTTATATAAGCCCTCATATTTTAAGTTATTAAAATGAATGCCGATGAAGGTGAACGATGAATTTGGACTATATTCTATATTTGCTAGAATTTTACGTAATTTTGTTAATTCGAAACGATATTTCTTTTGTGAAATATTTGATGTGCTATATTTGTAAATTAGTTTATGGTCTAATTAAAATTTGACATGATGTTTAGCTAATTTGGAGTGCAAAATTAAAAATATTTTGTATCTAATGCTTATTTTATGATTATGAATGTTTACTTAGATCAATATAGTTAAACCATATTTGACACATTATGGTTATTTTAATTCTTATTGTCTAATGTTTTGTAATATATGTGCATCATTGTGTTCAATTATGTTGTGTCTAAGTGAAAGAATTGAAAATATTTATATCTTGACTAACATAATCGCTAGGCCCATAAAGGTCTTGTCAAATAGATTAAGTAATAATGTATTTAATTAAATCAATTGATTGTGTGGGATGTCAATTCACGTCATGAATTAGATGCCATCTTTACAACTCTATAGTGAGTGACATCCTATCCTATATGCATGAGGAAGTTAAGAAAAAATACATAGTTCACTTTTGGAATATGGTGAAGAAGTTTCAAAAGTTGGATATCTTCCAAATGTAAGGGTATTTAAAATTTTCATATAGATACAACTTATATTTTGTTTTCTTAGTTGTAGAATTGACATCTTAAGCAACTTGTTCAGATTAGATCTGAAGATTGTAGGTAAAATATGGGAGTGAATGGACGCATTTGCTCAAAAGTCATAAGAGAAGTCAATATTAGAAATTTAATGTATTTATCTTATCTTACTTAAGGGAAAATTGCAGCAGTAGGTCCTAACCTTTTCATTTTTTTTTTTTTGTAAACTTTACTCTAACCTTCATTTTGTGCTAACGGAGGTTCCCAACCTTTAAAAAAGATACACATGAGACCATCAAAACGGAAATGTCCAAAAGACCATCAGTTAATCGAAAAAATTAAGGAATCAACATCCATTAAAATCATCCAAAACACCGTCTAAAAAGGTATCAACATACAATAAAATCGTCGTGATAGCAAATAGTTTAAGGAATTTTTCGGTCAACTAGCTGTGTTTTGGACATTTTCCCTTC